TGATAAAAAGCAAAAGTCGTGATTAGTTCTCAAAATTTTTAAAATTTTAGCTTATGCAGGAACTCATTTAAGGTTTTAGATGAAATTATAAATCAAAATTTAAAAATTATTTATGTTTAGTAACAAATATTTAATGAATTTTTTATATTCTCATCCTATCTTTCGGTAATTTGTTAGCCTTGAATTGATTTTTATTTTAAAATAATAAAATATTAAACTAAATAAGCTTGATCAAAATTTTAAAAAAGATTTATTTAGTAAAGGTTCTTAATTTTTATTATTTTGATATTAAATAAATAATATGATTTTTAAAGTTTAAACAAAACTTTCTTTATATTTTCTTATTTCTCAAATTAAAAGTATTTTTAAATATTATTTATTTAAGTTTACATGGAAGTTCAATTATTATTTTTAAAGTGAACTTATTTATTTTGGACTCAATACAATTTGATAATATTGATTTTGAGAAATAGATTAAAAGTAAACTTATTCATTTTGGACTCAATACAATTTTGATAATATTGATTTTGAGAAATAAATTAACTTAAGAAAGTTGTTTTATAAGAATAAAGTTTTTTAACATTGAACTTATTTTATTTTTTTGTATTAATTTACAATGTTTTAATATTTGAATTTTATATGGTTAGAAAGCTCTTTTAGTCTGCTTTCTAATGGATCAAACAAAATCAAAATTAAATTTAAAAAAAAAGATTTTGAATTTTTACTAGACACTTTGTAGTTGTCTAAAAAATTGCACAAATGGTAGTTTTAAAAATTCAATATAATTCGTATACAATGAATTAGGTGATGAATTTTTTATGGGTAGAAAGCATTTTAAGTATAGTTTCTAAATCTTTAAAAGGTTTTTGATTTGGAATTGTATAACTCAAAATATAATCAAATTAGTGAGTGGAGTGCAAAATAAGAGACAACCACCTAATTTGACTAGATCTATCCCTTCCCTGTAGGGATCGATTGGTTAGGGTTTCAAAGTGGTATCAGAGCTGATGGTTCGAGCCATGGGAAAAGGCAAGCTTAGAAGAGCTCGATTCAAGAGAAGAGTTCGAGTTCAAGTTTTGAGGATTGATGATCGGTTTGCGTTAAGCATGAAGCACATATAAGAAAAGATGATTTTGAGACTTTCATTGCAAGTAGAGCCAATCATATCTAGCATGAAGACAGATGATTTGATGAAATTTGAGTCAAGGTAGAGATTGTTGGGACTAATGACTCAATTCCTATAAAAGATTTATTTAAAATTTGTTAGATATTACTTTATGGATAAGAAGAGTTGCAGAAAAAGAATTTTAAAAGAAAAGAGATTTAATAGGCAAGTTTGACTTATAGAAGAAGAATTCTAAGAGGAGAGGATTCTTAATAGGCAAGTTTGTATGGTTATAAATAGATAAAGTTTTCATAGGGTTAGGTATGAGAAAAAGATATAAGAGAGTTGTAAGATTTTATGGGATAGACATCTTATAGGACTACTGAAGATTTATCTTATGGATATATATGTTTGAATGTTTATGAGTAGACTTAGAGGGTCTACATAGGTATGGTGCATGGGAGTGGACTAAAAGAGATTGAAAAGATCCACATAGGTATAATGAATGAGTATATATGTGTATGTGCTTATTTGTGTTAAAAGGGTGCACATGAGTTTGTGTTTATTTGGGTTGAGTATATTCCATAGGATTAGAGAAAATTAAGAAGGCCTATGGATATTGATTATTGAGTGAGATTGATTTAACGTATGTTTATAATTCTTTAAAATTAGTGGATTTTATTTATCATCTTTGAACGTAGGTCAATTAGACTGAACCACATTAAATTATTATCTTTTGTGTGATTGATTGATTGTTTGATTATGCTTTTGTTGGTGTGATTGAGTTTAGGCTTTTTTGCCCAATAAGTTGTATCAGAGTTGTGGTGATCTCTAACAATATTTGGTTTAAGATTATCAATTTATTATTATTTGCATCATATTTTGATATTAATCTTAATTTTTCATTCAATTATATTAAAATTATTATTTTGAAAGAATTTGAAAAAACCAATTCACTTCATTCTTAGATTACCATTTCACCTAAAAAACTAACATAATTGATAAAATTATGGGGAGATCATATTATGTCAAATACATTTTTTATTAGGACTAAATTTTCTATTAATTTTTATTTCCTTTATCTAAAAACTTGTGATTTATTTTAATAAAGTTAAATATTTTATTTTTTATCCAACAAAAATATGAAAAAAATACTGAAATAATTTTTAAAATTCTATAGCAGTTAAGCATAAAATTTATCAAATACTATTTTAACTTTTTTTTTTTGTAACGTTTTCAAAATAGCTTCACTTGAACAATACTTTCCACAGAAGCTTAAGTTGGATCAAATAAACTCAAAGTGCTATCAGAAGAAATTAATTGCTTTAATTTAAAGAATATAATTTGCTGCATTTGGGTGTTATACCAAAAGGGCACTCCTCCATGCAGGCATGTAAAAATATTGCAATATAAGTTATACTATCTGTAACACAACTATATTTAAGAATTAAGAGGTTAGTGAATCCTTTGGAAGAGCATAGAAATTACAAAGTGGTAAGTTACTTTAGGAACTTTGCTTCTTTTTTTTTTTTTAAATTTAGAGTGCTTTTAAGCTTTTACCTCCAAATCACTTACATGTACTTTGAAACTTTAACTAAATAAAGAAGCAAAAAACACTTTCAAATGGCTTTGTAGCAAGTAGCAACCCACTTCTTAAAGGGCGAAGACTAGCTTTACAAGGCTTAAAAAAGTATTCAACCATACACATGGTGCCCACTAATAGAAAGGAATTTCTTTTTTTTTTTTTTTTTTTCAAAACATCTTATCAAACTCTCGATAATAGAACATGAATCTCAACAAATATTAATTAAATTGATAAAATTCAAATATTTCATTTATAAAGTTTAGATTTAATATTGTTAGCAATATCTTTTAATCGATAATATGTAAATTCAATATAAATCTTTTATAAGACTTATGATCATCGTGTCCTTGAAATGAAAAAACCTTCCATCATCTTAATTTTTTTTTGACAAAAAATATATATATAAACTTGTGAAGTAAAGTAGTACTAATAGTTTGATTGCTGATGATACGATTATAAAAAAATGAAATCTCCTCGTTTTCCTCCAAACTCGCCTAACTCATTATTGACAAGAAACTTTTCTGAATTACTATAAAAACTAAATTATTGAAAGCATGAATCAAAATTCATGTTTCTGCAACCTTCATTTTGTCTCCACCGGTAAGTTGGGTGAATCACAAATCACGATGGATTTTTTTCTTTCTTTTTTTTTTTTTTTTGCAATTATAAACTACCATACTATATTTCAGTAATGTTCATCATTCATAGGATATCTTCTCCTTACCTTTTTGAAAATCCCATCCCATCTGCCCCATCTTTCTGAGCTAATGCAATTGAAGCATGTGCCTCTCTTATCCCGTATTCTTTTTTTTCCCTTCTTTTGCTTATCTTCTTTTTAATCTTTCACTCTTTATTTTTCTTTCTTTCCCTTTGCTCCATTTCAATGCGGAAAGATTGATGCTTTCTTGACCAAAGAGAACGTTACCCATCCACAAAGGTCATGTCAATGTTGTTCTTTTTTTCATGCGAATTATAGTGGCATTTGGGCCATAGCAACAATGCCTTTCCCCAACTTGACATTTCTTGTGCTTTAGCTAAAAAAAGCACAAGGGAATTTCTTTGTTGTGTTTAGAATCTGTTCATTTTCTTTCTTGAAAACGACGATCAAGCTTTTTGTTAATGATGCCACTGGCAAAAAAGTGAAAAAAAGAGCTAGATGTTGTAAGGTGCAATCCCAAGAAAAACACTTGGCAAAGAAACTGGGGGGGAGGGGGGGAGGGCTCGCACCTCATTCAAATGGACCATACCCAACAGGCTTTGTTTTGGGCCATTGAAAGGATTTGCACCACCTCCTTCCCTCGCAAAAAGTTTCAGTGGCGATATTGATCAGCTTGTATTCTAAGTTATTTGCTAGTCTGGTCCGAAATTTCCGTTGCCAATTAATGAAGTTGGTCCCCTGAGGGAAGCTGTTGAGCAAGTGAGATTAGCGTTGAAATGACAGATATAGCATAATTCCGATAGACCTCTGCAAATGCAATATTAAATGTTCAAGCTGACTGGGAATAAGAATTGGGAAGATACGTGGTCGTTTTGGGGGGTTTCTAGCTTGACAAATTGGGTGGGTATTAATTTCGGAAACAAGATCAAACTAAGAGCTAGTAGGTCTACTCCAAATCAGACTCACATGATTTTGATATTATCCCGTGAACTTTTCTGCAAATCTCTATTCACTCACCAGATCAGCTGACTTTTTTAAGAAAAATATGAACTATACGTTGTTCATATAACTATAAACCAGACAGCTGTTAATCTATGGGAAAGGAGCGTAGAAAACATGCAGCATGTGTTTGTTGACGGCAGAATCAATAGAAAAAATCCACTTAATTTTGTTTATAATTATGCAAATTTGGAATAATCCCAACTCCCAAGACCATGCATCTGCATATGGGAATCTTTAGCAGGTGAATTGTCACCTTCAGTGGTAACTAATTAATTAAGAAATCGTATATAATTAAGAAGGTTACGTGCAAACTAAACCAGAAATTGATGAAGGAAAAGCGACTTTTGGCTTGTAATTAGTTATCGGGTCGCTATAATTGTTCCCATCTACCAAACCCCACCCCCCCCCCCCCCACCAGCCCCTGCTCCAACCACCCTGTTTTTCTCTGCTTCTCATATCAAGTTTTGGATCAGCCCTTTTCACCATTTGTCCATTTCTTCCAACAAAAATAATCATTACTACCCAATAAGATTAGCATGGAAACAAAACCAACCAACTTCAAAAAAAAAAAAAAAAGAGGAAAAAAATACTTAAATTCTTTTGTAATTTGGTTTCTAGAATATTATTAGGTTGTCTGTAATGTCACTTCATGTCAAGTTGGCTAATCCTATATTGTTTCAACCTTCTGTAAATCCTTCTTTAAATCAAACCCCATTTTCTCTGCTTCTCTCAGAAGTGAAAACCTTCTCTATCATTGCAAGAGAAGAGGAAAAAAAGCCTCCTAAAAGTTTGGTTTTTCCAAGAGAAAACCCAAAGAAATGAAGAACAGTAACAGCAATCCCAAGCTGATTCTCCTCCATCCCTATATCCAAAAACAAGGAAGCTCTAACAGATTATGGCTCCTTGCTTTTATTTCCTTCTTCACCATTGCTTTCCTTCTCACTCTTATATACACCAGAGAGTCAATTATCAGTAAAACCACGGCCATAAGCACAACCGTGACAGGCCCTAGCTCTTCTGTCTCTACCCTTGGTGGTGCACCATTGCCAACCACTGTCATAAACACCCTTCTCCATTATGCTTCAAAATCCAATGAAAGTTATCACATGGCATACTCCGAGCTCAAGCCAATCTCTGATGTCCTACGGAAATGTTCCTCTCCTTGCAATTTCCTTGTTTTTGGTCTAACGCCAGAAACCCTTCTCTGGAAGGCATTGAACCACAATGGCCGCACAGTTTTCATCGATGAGAACAGGTATTACGCCTCTTATTTCGAAGAGTTACATCCTGAAATTGATGCCTTTGATGTTCAATACACGACCAAGATAAGTGAAACGAGAGAGCTTATAGCATCAGCCAAGGAACAGATTCGCAACGAATGTAGGCCAGTTCAAAACCTGTTGTTCTCAGAGTGCAAGCTTGGAATCAACGATTTGCCAAACCACGTTTATGAAGTGGACTGGGATGTGATATTGATTGATGGACCAAGAGGAAACGGACCCGAAGGTCCTGGAAGGATGCAGCCAATCTTCACTTCCGGGGTGCTAGCAAGAAGCAAGAAAGGGGGCAATCCCAAGACTCACATATTTATTCATGATTATTATAGAGATGTGGAGAAAATATCTGGGAATGAGTTTTTGTGCAAGGAAAACTTGGTGGAACACAATAATATGCTTGCCCATTTCGTGGTGGAAAGAATGGAAGAGAACAGTTTCCAGTACTGTCGCAACAAGAGCAATACATCATCGACAAAAGCTCCATCTCCCTAATTATTACGTATCAAGTTCATAAAAGATGATCATATACAGTCCCAAATCCCAAGTGTTCAAAAATGGTATAAATTAAAGAGAGGCGGATATCGATTATTTATCATCATTTGAAATTTGTCTAGATCGATCGACCTTTCTCCATGGGGTGGGGCGTCTGAAAAAAAAAATTATTATTATTATTTTTTGCAATGAAAAATGTAAGTTCATTGATTCAGGACTTCAAATTGTCATCATTTTAAATTCTTCTCTTTTTTTTTTTTTTTTGGTTATTTAATGTCAGAGAGCAGATGAGCAGTCACAATTATAAAAAAGTCTTACTAGTCAATTAAGTGAAGATGTTTTGTTTAATGTTTTCATATAATCACGTTGCTTGTTTTTGTAGAGTTCTAACTAAAAAGAAAGTGAATTAGGCTCTGGTGAGTGGTGTCCCATTTTAAAGGATGGTATTGGCGAGCACAAGAAAGAGGACCTAAAATATTTTACTAGCGAAATCGTTCGGCTTAAAGTAAAGGTATTTATGGATCAAATCGGTTTGGATCCAATTAGCGTCTCAAAAAGCATATATACTTAAGATTCAGTTTGGTCCATCTATCAAAACTAATTTAAATTTATTTAAATTAAATTTATTATTAAAATATTAAAAAATATTATATATATTTTTAGTATAAATAAAATAAAAATTAGTTATTTTTTTTATAAAGTATGTTTACGGGTTGAATTGCACTCAAACGCGAAAATTCTTGTCCTAGCTTCAGTCGTGCTTGGTGGACAACCTGACTTTTGGATTGATCTAATATTATGTATCCTTTTATGTGATTCTTATTTCTTAGTCTCTTAGATTAAGTCTTCTATTTAGAGTTGTCAGTCTAATTCACTTTCGACAGGTTTTTGATCTAATCTCGTAGGATGAGTTTTTTTTTAAATCGAGTTTTAAGTTGTATCATATAATATTAGGTTAGGGTTGGGCTTTAGGCAAACTTGATCTAACCCGACTCAATATATATAAAAAATTATTTTTTAATTAATTAATTAATTATATATTTAATTTTATATTTATATTAAAAATAATATTTTATATTAAAAAAATAATCTTTTATATTTTAAAAAATATTTTATTAATTTCGAGTCGGACCGAGTCGCGTATGATTTATATAATATTGGATTGGATCGGATTTGGGTATGAAAAAAAATAAAAAATCTTTTTCGAGTTGGGTTGAGTTTGGATTTTATGAATATAAAGTTGGGTCAGATTTGCGGCGAGGCAAAACTCGCCCTGACCTTATCTGTTGTCATCTTTACTCACATTTTACAATTACCTTAAAAAAAATAGTGTATTATATATAAATTTTCAAAATAATCTTAGTAAATTACATATTTTTTTATACAATAATATTTATATATTTTATTAGTGAAAATTATATCAATATCAATATCAATATTAATATTAATATCATAATTTAAAGTTGTTTCAAGCAATCCTTCAATTGCTAGTTGGTGTTTTTGGTACTAACATATGTTGTTTGCTTCATTTGGATTAAGTTTTTGTTCTTGTTATGAGTTGGGTTTTTTTGAACTTTTGTTGTCTTAATTATAAATGATTGGGTTTTAATTTATTTTGGTTTTTATTGATTGTAACATTGTTCGGTTTTTATATTAAAGTTATATTCGATTTCAAATTCTAATTAAAAAAAAAAGAAAGATGATATAAAGTGAAGTTGAAGATTGTGATTGAAATTAACTATCTATAATTTATAAAATAATTAAAAGTTATTCTCTTATTTAATTTTTCTAACACCTTTTCAACGTCAATAAAAAAAATTTGAGGGTAGATTTGGGAAGAAAAAAAATTACATGTTCTATAAAAGCTTCTATTTTTTCCTTTTTCCTTTTCTCCTCCCTTCTTTTTCTTTTTTTTTCTTTTCTCTCTTTTTTCTCTCCTATTCAAATTCGGGCCTTCCTTAATCACTAATCACCACCTTTCTTTTTTTCCTCTTCTTCCTCCCATCTTCTTTCTCTTTTTTTCTCCCTTTGCGTCCTAAAGCAACTGTTTTCTTTGAGAGTTGAGGCAACACCTTTAATGTTGAAGAGAAGAAGTTTGGCGAGGATAGAGATATTGATACTAGTGGAGTTAAACTAGGATTTGTAACAGGCATTCATGCACATGTAATGCACGTGTCATTAACTCTTCTTACTATTTGAACCCAATAGAATGTGGGGCAATCCTACCAACGGTGTTTTTTCTGATAAAATCCAAAAAAAAAAAAAAAATCTTTGATTAGCTATCCATGTTTTTCGTTGTTTGTTCTAATGGAAAAATACTTGGTTTCAATTGAAAAACTTAAACCCAAATCAAGGTAATTTTTTCTTTCTTTTACTTTATTCTATTTCTTTGAATTGAATATTTGATGAAATTCTAAATGTTCTTTTGAATCTAAAGATGGCGTCGATGGCAAAGAAGCAAGCTAAAATTGAATGAAAAATTTGATCTTAAGCACCAACACAGCCTTATTGGCCTTCTCATGCATTCTTATTTAGAGGTCTTTCAAATTTTCTTTTTTTTTTTAATTTATTTTTTTTATTGTTGGTTTTGTTCAATTATTGATCTTTGTTCAATGCTTTTCATCAAAAGCTACAAAATATGATGGATGCTTCTCAAATCGAATTTTATGATAAAGTTGAAGAAAACATGGTGAATATAGTAAGGGAAGAAAAACCTTATAGGGCTTGGATCAAACCTTTTACAATCTATTACAAGTCGATTTAGAACTAATAGCAACCTACTCCAAAGTTGGTTTTGACAATCAAGGTCCCACGTCTTTTTCTATATCAAAGTAACAAAGCAGTGCCATGAAAATACAATTATGAAGTGGCAGCTCAGAGATTGGATGATAATCAAACTACAACTAACTTTGCAAATATAACTAAAGTAAGGGGCATGCCTAGTGGATGATATTATTCACTTGAAATTATGGATAAGGCTAGAAAAGAGAAGCTAAAAAGGATAAAAAAAAATGACCAAAATAACCCTGTTGAAATTCTTGATAGGGGATACCAAAAATTAGCCATTGAGAAAGAGGCATGCAAATTTTTGAAATTAATCAAGCACAGTGAATATAGCGTAGTGTAATAATTGAACGAGATGCCTACAACGATCTCACTTCTTTCATTGTTTCTTTCCTCAAAATCTAATAAGAATGTTTTGTTAAGAGTACTAAACTAAGCTTATGTCTCTTATAACATATCTGCGGAAGAAATTGGTAACATTGTTGGAAATTTGGTGTTATCAAATTACATAAGCTTCAATGATGATGAAATACCCCTTGAAGGATGAGGAAACACAAAACGCTTTCCACATCACTACAAAGTGCAAGATTCATACCATTGCCAAGATCCTGATTGATAATGGCTCTTTAATAAATATAATGCCTACTAATACTTTAGCCAAGCTCCCAATCGATGCATTTATATTAAAGCTAGCCATATGGTAGTAAGAACTTTTGATGGTTCACAAGGGGAAGTGTTAGGAGACATTGAGATGTCATTATCGATTGGTCTTTATACCTTCAATATCAAATTCCAAGTGATGGTCATCTCTTTAGCCTATAGCTGCTTACTAGAAAGATCATGAATTTACATGGCAGGTGCTATTCTTTTTTTTTTTTTTTGCATCAAAAAGTCAAATTCATTGTTGATGGATATTTGGTTTGTATTTCTAAGAAAAAAGATTTGTTTGTAACACAATCCATATCCACTCCATATGTAGAAGCAATCGATGAAGTATTTGAGTGCTCATTTAGATCCTTTGAAATAATCAATGCAATATATGTGAAGGAAGGATCTAAACTTTTTACCTCTCAATTATCTGTAAGCACCAACATGATGATTAAACAAGAAATTGAAAATGGTTGACGTCTTGGGAAAAGATTGAGAAAAAATCTGCAATGGATAAGACAACCTCCACTAATACTTGATAACCAGGATAAAAGTGGTCTAAGATACAAGCCAACAAAGATAGACAAAAGAAAACTAGCAAATGCAAAAAAAGATAAAAGAATAATTGATCTTAAGGGATGTGAACCTGAAGATGAAAAGTTTATCGTTTCCTACCAGTATGATACCTTTCATTATGAAAGATGTATGTATCCTGAGCTTTCTCAAGCTGCCAATGGGGATATGGCATGAAATATGGGGAAGATAAGTTTTTTATTATAATGATGGATGATGAAGCTTCTGAATATCAAGAAAAGAAGCCATTTGTGTATCTTACCCTACTAGGCAATGATGTGAAAAATTGAAAGATGACAAAGTTACTTGCTATCCCTGAACCTATGAAAAAGTAATATAGTAAGTCATACCTTAATTGTTTAAGCTCGAGCATTAGGGGTATCTTTTATGTATGGGCTAATTTACTCATTATTATTTCAATTAAATGATTTGCATAATGCCTTATCATTATATTTCCTCTTTCAAATTTTTTTACGATTTTGTACAAACACTTGCCCACATCTTTCCATTGCACCCATTTTTCAAGTTTTCAAATAATGAATGTGAAGACAGTTGTGACAATGATTCAAGATTTGACTTTAAAAATTCTATTCATATTGATGAACTTGATAAGAAAAAAGCCTTAAATGACTATACTTTGCCTCCTAAATTAATGAGACTAATGGAACAAAAAAAGAGACCAATTGAACCACATCAAGAAGTTTTAGAAATGGTTAATTTAGGGGAAGAAAAAATAAGAAAAAAAATTAAAATTGGCACAACTCTGTCACCAAATGATAAGAAGAAGTTAATAGATCTACTTCATGAGTACGCTGATTTGCTCACATGATCTTATGAAGATATGCTAAGATGTAACATTGATATAGTAAACACAAGTTACCTTTGAAGTCTGAATGTAAGCCAGTAAAACAAATACTAAAATGCATTAAGCCGAAAATATTGTTAAAAATTAAGAAAGAGGTTAAAAAGTAAAATGATGCTAGTTTTTTTGAGGTAGCCAAATATTCTGAATGGGTGATTAACGTAATCTCAATCCCTAAAAAAGATGACAAAATCAAAATCTGTGTGAATTATTGAGATCTAAATAGAGCAAGCTTCAAAGATAATTTTTTCGTCATTGTATTGATACATTTGTGGATAACACTTGTCAACGGGGTCGGGTTTGACCTTTTTTTTTCTTCATTCTCTTTCCTTCTTTCGTCTCCCTTCCCCCTCTTTACGCAGAGCTTCTCACTCTAGGGTGATTTCTGGCTACTGCTCCAATGGCCGATGCCACCATTGGCCGCCGCCAGTCGACGTCCTTTTCAACCTAAATTTTTGTTGCAGCTTCTTTGTAACTCCCTC